GTTCTTAACTTGGATGGTCCCATTTGTTTGTGAAATACTTTAATGGCTAAATCATGATTGTTTGAAGCGACATCAAGCATCAAACTTTCTAAAGTAACTAGAGAAGTGAAGATTAATCTAAGATCAAATTCATTATACCTGTATTTGTTGCTTGATCATCGGAAAAAAATGGAAGGTAATGGTCAACAACAATGGCTGCTGGAGTGTATTTTCAACTGTCAAAATTGAATGATATATGTGATATTTTTTTAAAATAATTTTTTATTTAAAAAATAACAAGAAAATATGGTTACTCTCCATGTACTGTAATGTGATTTTGGATTAATTTGAGGAAATTTTTTTAAGAAAAAACTCTCATAAAAAAATATAATAATCTAACAAAAATAATATATTTTGATTATACCAGTACTTACATCAATCTAGAGGAACTCTATCACATCTAAATTTTAATTATACATAATATCACATCTATTTATAGTTTAAATTATTGAACTAAGATAATTATTGTATCAAAATTTTTATGGTAAAATAATCACAAGTTTAAATCTTATAAATTAGACACAAGAAAATATAAATTTTTGTAAGTTTCAAGTTTAAAGGATTTTTTTCTTATTTAATTCGATATATTTCAAAACAAAAGGACATTTTAAAAAATAACTATATTAATTTTTTAATTAATATGAATATTTAAAAGTTAGTAAATATCTTAATTAATTTTACAGTTATTAAAATTAATAATTATAGACCCTCGTCATTAACTATAGTAACTTTTGAATCTGAGTGCCATTGTGCAAGCTCATGCTTCCATGGATATGACATCTGTATGTGCAGCTAGATTTTCTTTGAATATCATTCACTTTTACAGGGCTTAAAACTTTCTGCATGATAGATTTTGCTTCCTCGTGAACTTTAGATAGGAATCATTGACAGATTGTCAGGAAATTTGGCACCAGTATCACCATGAGGGTATGGCCTTTGTTCATTTAATTACGTATTGGGACTAACCCATGCAAGCTGGGGTTTGGACCCTACCATGTGAAGGTGCTGAGGATTGATTGCAAACATTGTGATGGCTTCGCAGTAAGATAAAGAAAGCACTTGTTATCAAGAACAAAAAAGGCTAGCCACTTGCTCCGACCCATCTGACAACAACCAAAAAAAGGTTTAAATAGGTGGCAAGTTTGATCTAGTTGAAGGTGGGACTTGTTCAATCATTTCAATTGTCGAGAATTAAATTTTAAATAAATTTTAATTTCTTTTTAAAAAATATAAAAAAAAATTAGAGATTAATCTCTCGGAAGCACTATACTTAAAAAAAAATAACATTAAAACGAACTTACCTAAAATACTCATCTACTTATTCCCGAAAAAAAAATTAATATTAAAACTAACTTACCTAAAATACTCATCTACTTATTTTTTTAAGACATTTTAAAAAATAAGATGAAAATGATTAAAGTAATATAAAAACAGAATAGATTAAATTCTTGTATTCAAATTCAACATTTCAAACCATCTTTTCATGAATTCAATATCTACGCTTCTCTCAGAATTATTTTCCAGTAAAAATATCTAACATTTTGACAACCTAAAAGGACGGGAAAAGGATTGGGAATGGTGGGCTATGAGAAGCTAAGACCCAAAGCCCCACAAGTCCACCAAAGTGGGGAAAGTTAGGGCACAATTCCTGGGATTCCTAGGGCATATATAGTTTGTTGAACCCTAATCATGCTCTCTACCCTCCACTGCTAGATAAATTATGAGAGACAATCGAGTTTCTCCAATATCACCTACCAAATGCCCCCCCACTAACCATCAAATATCAATAAACAAACAATCCATCCATCATAAAGCTCAAGGGCTTAAAAGCAAACCAGCCCTCTCAATTTGATTATACGTTGCGTTTATCTGTTAGTATTAGTTCTAAATTTGTTTTTAGTATTGTGATCTATTATATTTCTTCGTGATTCTAAAACATTTTAAATAACACTTATGTTTTTCCAAGTAGAAAAACAAAAACTACCATGAAAATAGACGAGCACTCACTAACCATCATTTCAAACATCATACCTTAGCCCACAAGCAACTTTAAAGCTCCATTTATATTATGCCACAGCCTGCTGGTATACCTTGAGGATTCAGTGTAGGGTTCTTGCAGAAGCTCCCTAAAGTGACAAGGCGGTTGATTAATATATGTTTGGAAATATGATTATGATTGTTTTTTAAAAATATTATTTTCTAAATCAACACATCAAACACATCAAATCGATCTTAAAAAAATAAATTTTTAAAAATACTCTGGAGACTTGTTTAACAAAATTACTAGGGAAACAGTACCAGTATTATTATTATTAGTTTGATTTTTTTTTTTCTGTTTCTGTAATAAATTGTTGGGCCATGTTTGGATTGATGGCATGTAGTGCACCGGTGGAGCCGGCCATAAAGTGGAGAAGTTAAAGAAGGAGAAACACTGAAATGCTTCCGCTCAAGTCTCTTTCGGGTGTTATTTTCAGTTCATGCTCTTTCGTTTCTTTCCAACAGTCAATTTTGAGGACTATAATGGTGTCTGGATTCGTCTTTCACATGCAAGGTTCGCCATTTTCCCCCATAACGAATCGATTTGCGTATTGGTTAAACTAATTCTACTTTTTAAATAATAATCTTAATAACTCACCCCACCATCGATCTAGTAATTTTAGACTCTGTTTTGAAAATGAATTTGAAATTTAAATTCATGTTTTTTAAAAAATATAATTTTTTTATTTAGTTTAAATTTAATTTTAAATTTTTTTATGGTTTTGATGTATCGATATTAAATATTATTTTTTTAAAAATTAAAAAAATAATTTTATTTTAATATATTTTTAAATAACAAACACTTAAAAAATAAATACTCCTATATTTTCAAACACCCTCTTTTAATCTTTTTTTGTATTATTGATCCCAAGCTCCACCGGTTCCTTTTTATTATTCTTGATGGTATTTTTTAAAGTATTAACACTGTTTTTCTAACTAAAGGCATTTTAGAAAAATCTGATGTATTAGTCACAAAGTTTAATTTTTTAAAATATATTTAATAATACAGTTTAATCTAATCTGTTCAGAATTTTTTTTTCAAAGTTTTGATATTTTGATATTAAAATTGAAAAAACATTATTTTAACTTAACTGAAGATTAAGTTACTACATTATCAAACATATTAAATATGTTTATGATGGAGTGAAAATACAATGACGCATTTTTACTATATCCTGTTTATTTCTTTGTTTTTTATTGTTTTATTAACATGTGTGTTATTTTGGATTTTAATCAATTTTATAGATATTAAAATTAATAATTATATAAACATTTAATAATTTAAAATTTATAATACTCACTAACTTTTAAAACGTAAATCCATCACTTAACTAATTGAATTATAGCCCCTCAGTGTTAACTTAGATCTGCTAATTTCTGAAAGCAGATGATGGTGGTCTCTGTACGGACCTTGTGGAGCTTGGGAAAAAAATGTTAATATGTGATACGGAGAGATTGTGCTTCGGCCAGAATCCAAAAGAGTCTAGCAAAATAAATGACGACGACAGCCTTTCTCATGTCCGCACTCTCAGGCACCAAATCTCCATGCGTGCCTCTGTCGCGGTATTTGACTGCGACGCATCTAATCTTATCCCTGTTTTTTACTTGGACCGTCTGCCTACCTATAACTTCATTTTCTATGGGGGCCTCCATTCAATCCACGGGATATGCTCTTACTTTTATCTTTTTTTCTTATATAAAAATATTACAATTCTAAAATTTCTGGGCACAATTTGTGTTTGAGTGTGTTTCGCAACAAAATATTAATTTATATTTTTTAATAATTTTAATATATTAATTTTAAAAAATAAAAATCTTTTAAAAATATAATTTTTTAAATAATAAACACATAATTACACATAACGAGTGAATATTCATTCACCCATATACACGCACATAGCACATATATTGATACTTTATTTTCACAAGAAAAACTTAAATATAATAATATAATGTTAAGTGAAAAAATCAATATTAAAAAGTGGTTATTATTTTTTATTCATGTATGTATTGTTAATTTATATTCCTATGTATCACATATAATTGAAAACAACTATCTAAAATAAGAAAAAAATCATAATAATATAATGTTAAGTGAAATCTTTTAATAAATAATATTATTCTTGTTATATGTATATATATATTGATCTAACTATTAATTACTAATTTTGAAAGATAATTCAATTTATGTCCTTAATTCTACTTTAGTCGGTTAAAAATTATCTTTCCATGGTTCAAAATTAAAAAAATACTTAAATAATACATGTGCAAAGAAAATGTCAAGAAAATAATTAATTTAAATGTGAATAATTAATTTTAAATCAAATAGAAAAGGAATTCAATCTTAATTGAAGGAAAACTAGTACAAAAATACCTTGTCATTAGCTATCAATGGTTGAACAAGAGAAAGACAATACGAGTATGTCATCCATGGATGAAGTATAATGCATTGCAAAAAAAGCCAAATTATAACGGTGCCTGGATCGACTAGCAATATTTTTTTAATCAAAGTGATAAAAAAAATTAAGGTATTTAAATTGTAATTAGTAATATTTTATTAGTTATTTTTTTAATTTATATATTTTTTTAAAATAGATGCTAGCATGAAAAAGAATTACAAGTGAAAGTATTTTTTTATCATTTTTTAAAAGTATACGTTTATTTTATTTTATTAATATCTTCTATTTCAAATTAAATTTATAAAATAACTAATAAAAAGTCATTAAATGCTATAAAAGTTTTTATATTATTCTAACATATTTTTTTTAAATAAAATATCAACGAGTTGAATGTTATATTTTAATAAAGTGAAAAACCCCCAAACCCTACCATAACAAGAAGGTGGGACCAAGCATGAAGAGAGAGGCAGGCTTTGGCTCTCACTTTTAACAATTTGACCTCTCAAATTGTTTTCTTTTATAACACCAAAAATCCCACACTAACATGACACATTCATTGCTGATGTTGTTGAGAGAGAAGGAGACATTAAACACAGAGCAAGAAAAGAAAGTTAGGCAGTCAGGCTACCCCAACTAAGTCTTTTCCTTTAACTAAAGTAATTCCCCCTCCTTAAAGATTCTTCACCTTCCCTTCTTACTTCACATCCTCCTCCTCCCCTCTCTTTCTCTGTCATCTTGCAGTGTCAACTTGCTGCAAGAACCCTTCTTGCATGAACTGTTGTTAAGCTATTTTTTCGTGCTGATATCTCTGTAAGTTCTTTTTTTTTTTTTCTGTGTCTTTTATATATATGAAGGTTTGGAGCTCAGGTTTTGCTTTTTAGTTGTAAAGTTTTGATCTTGTCTGTGATTCTGAGAGCTGCTTGAGAATTTGGAATGTGATTATGTTGCGTGTTTCTCTTCCCAGAAGAAAGTTTATGGCTTGGTTGGTGAAGAAATTGTTCTGTAGAGATATTTGGTAATGAGGCTTGGAGTTGTTGAAATGTAGTTGAAGACATACTTGGTAACTGCAACTATAAGTAAAGAACATACTTTTATGGACTAATTTGTCTCCTGCTTTTATTAAAAGCTTCATTTGGATGACATTTGTCTCTCCCCTTTTTTTTCCATGGCTGTATTATTGAGCTGGACCATGCTCTTTTGCACCATTAGAGTAGCCCGGGAAATTTTGTGTTGGAAATTGGAGACCAGTGTTGCTGCAGATCGATGAACATTCTGTTCTTTAAATGAAGCTCATAATTTGGTTTGAAGTAGGAAGTTATTTGAAGTTTTATGCTCTGCGAGACTTGTTACTTGCTGGCACTAGCAAGTTGAGTTTCCATTTAATTTGTAAACTTAACCATCAATTTCTTGCATATCTTTACTCAATGTAATATACGGCCCTTCGTTTAATTCAAATCCTTTCTGCCTTTGTGCATTTGAATAGTAATTTCCTTGGTTTGATTGTGTTCTTTACAACACAACTAAATATCAACGATCAATACTCTAGGTTTTTAATCTGCACAAATTCTGGAGCTTTGTGCTGTGAAGTTTTGTGAAGGGTGAAGTTTCAATGTGTCTTTAGATTTTTCTTTTCTCCTATTTAAGGTTTAAAGTTTGATGTTTTTTATTTTTTGGGATTGGCTTATGGAGAGCAGGAACCTAATCTGAATAAATGACGAAGATAAGTCCAGAAATTGAGGAAAATATGCAGGGAGAAGTAATTTTTCCTGTTTCGGCTGATGTGAGCTTTGCTTCTGATGGGTTTCCAAGATATAAATTAGGACCTGATAATCAGATTTTGGAAGAGCCAAAGGAGGACAACAAGGGTCCATCTTTAAAGGAAGTAGTTGAACAGGAAACTGTGCAGTTGTCAGATCAGCACAAGCGACTCTCAGTTCGTGACCTTGCCTGTAAATTTGACAAGAACTTGACTGCTGCTGCTAAGTTGGCTGAAGAGGTTATCTAACTTTGCCATTTTTTCCGATGTGGTTTTATTTGTTATTTATGCGTGAGACGCACACATGCATGTGCACAATTGAGGAATACCCATTTAACGTTGAACACGGCCTTCTTGCAATTGAAATCTATGTCCTTTATTTACTTAGCTCAATCAAAGGCCATCTGCCCTTTCCCTTTCAGCCGATCTTTTCTTAAAAGAGTATGTTCTTTTGATGTGGATAGATGACAAAATTACTCATACTTGTTTCTTTCAGGCAAAGCTTAGAGAGGTGGCTTCTTTGGAAGGACATGTTCTTTTAAAGAAGCTTAGAGATGCCCTGGAATCATTAAGAGGTTGTATGGCCGGGCGAAACAAGGAGGATGTGGAGAAAGCCATATCTATGGTCGGTCTTTCCCCCCCACTTTTCCATTTTCTTTTCTGTATAAAAGCCATTGATAGGCAGACAGTCATCTATATGTTTCAAGTGGTGACATGTGGTTGATATTTTCGATATGCATTTAACACCCATGTATAATTTAGTTACCATATTCAGCTTCTAATTGTATTTTGTTGTTTTTGCTACCAGTAACTTCTGTCTTTCTTTACAATTTACTGAAGAAGCCTTCTTGCAAGTGCATTTATAATTCTGTTTCTACATTTGCAGTATGATAATTGTTGTCAACTATAATCTTTCATGCAGGTGGAGGCATTAGCGGTTAAACTGACTCAAAATGAAGGAGAATTAATTCAAGAAAAATTTGAAGTGAAAAAGCTGGCCAACTTTCTTAAACAGGTTGGTCGATAGTGTTATAAATTTGCATATAGATTTAAGGAACTACTTCTTCCTGGACAAATATATCAAGTTGTTCCCTTTCATAACTTCAAACTGTGGCATTTCCCCTTAGTTTCTTATGCTGCTTAATAAATCAAACATAGGATAGGTTGGACTTTGAGGTTTTGTATCACTTAGGATACTATGTGATTCTCTCATCCTAATGGCCTAACCATTGGTTATCCTAGAATAATGCCTTGGAGCTGTGGTCCTAATGCTCCCCTTTTGATTGACGAGGTTTCAGTAATTTGTGCATGTGAAAACCTTGTGTGAATGCACTTCTTATTTAGCCTTTTCTTGTCCATCTTCTAAAATCCTTTGCAATATTATTTTTTATTTTATTTTTGTCTCCAGGCTTCTGAAGATGCTAAAAAGTTAGTGAACCAAGAAAAATCTTTTGCTTGTGCTGAAATTGAGAGTGCCAGAGCAGTTGTGCAAAGGATTGGAGAAGCCCTAGATGAAGAAGAAAGGGATGCTCAGAATTCAAAAAACCAGGCTGCTGTGAGTTTTTCATCTTTGAATGTCTTCTATTAAATAATTTGTTGTCACTCAGTTAATTCCATCTAACACACCAAAATTTTCCTGTCTTATTGCTAAAATTGCATGTTCTTTCATAAACATGATTTTGCATCATTTTGTTCACTGTAATGCTAGAGATTTGTGGACGTGGCATATTGTCATATACTGTTCCTTTAGAAGCTTTGCTATGTTATCTTTATACAGTTACTACAATAGCATTTTGCGTAAAACAACACAAATACAAGGTCTGTAATATCAATTGGAGCATGAGATGGCTATCAAACATGCCATGGCAATATCCTTTAACACGGTTGTTACTCAGGATGTGGAGGAACTAGTTGAGGAGGTTCAAGAGGCTAGAAGAATAAAATTATTGCATCAGCCAAGCAAGGTAAATTGATACTGTCCCTTCTCATTTGTGATGGCAGACGGGATATTTATGGTCCTGTCTTATTATTGCATATAACTGACACATTGGGATCGCTACAAGACTGTTGATTTGATTGGATCATCTTTTTTTACTTCTTGTTTGGTTTGTTCTAATTCATAACATTCAATTAAGTTTAACCCAAATGAGTCATTGTTAGCACATTATGACCCTGCAATTCAAATAAGACTACCCCTTAATTTTGCACAAATCATGGTTAGCTGCTTTTTTTGTAGCACAAAATTTCTTATCACCAGAAGTAGTCATGGGACTCAATGAAGTGAATTTCACGGTTGATATAGCCCTTTTCCTTTCAATATTTTCAACTTGAACCATATGGTTCCTGCTGTTGCTTCATTGGTGTTAAGATGGACACTGTAGTTATGCTATCTTCATTCCCAGTCCTTTGATTATGAAATTGCATTTGTAAATGCCTGGCAGTGATCATGGCTGAATCGTGACAACTGCAAGTTTCATGTAAATAAAATCCATCATTTTAACAGGATGAAAGTTGTTTTGTGATGAGTGATCAAATAGATACTTTGATACATAAATTGGTAAATCAATTGAGAGCAGTGGCGGAGCCACAATGGGGATTATGTGGGAGCAATCTTAATCTTTTTTCCTTTTTTCAAAATATTTTTTATATTAAAATTTTAATATAATAACTTAACAAGTTTAATTTTTTTTATTAACTACTAATTAATCCAAGCTTTTTTTTTTAATTATTGTTCCTGCCTCTCTTCCTTCTACAAAATTTCCCTTCAAGTCCTAAACTATTAATTAGTTAAGTAAATAACCTTTTATGCTTTATGCTTTATGTTTTAGGTAAGTTTCATTTATTTTTTTATATATTCCACAGTCTAATTTGAGTTTTATTCCTTAATAATTAGTTATTAGAAATGTTAGAGTTTATGATAATTTATTGATTTGTTAAATTAATATATGTATGGATAATATTATATGCATATGAATATGAATTGAAATGAGTTTTGATGAATTAATATGTATTTTGTTATGAATTTCATATGAAAAATGATGGTGATCAACTTATCAGTGATTGAAAATGAAGTACTGAACGACTAAAAAAATTAGGGACACAATAAAAAAATTAAAAAATATATTAATATTTATATTTAACCTACTTGTATAAAACAAGAAGTCAACAAAAATTATTGCCAATAATTTCACTAGTTCTGGAATATTTAGAAATAGATGAATGAAAGTTTAATTGTATATATTGAGAAAGAATAGTTTTAATGAAATTAATAATAAAGTCATTATGAAACAGTTTCAAAATATGAAAACTAGAAAAAAATAATGATAATGTAAGTTTTTTCATTTTAAAAATATTTTTAAATTAATTTTGCTTGACATGGGGTTAGTACATGCATTTCAAATTGATTTTTCTATATGTAACACATGTCTATATAGTATATAATATCAAGCATTTGTTAATAATTTGTCCTCTTATTTAAATTTTTTTGGCTCCGCCACTGATCGAGAGAGATTGGTTCTTTGAAAATGGTTCGTGCTCCACTGTTAATGTTCCATTACATCAATTACACTTGCACAAATGCTTTATTTGCCTGGTCTTTTGCATTTTTCTTGGTTGTCTTGGGCACAAATATTCAGGCCTAGAAATGAAACTGTGACATGAAGAACGTATATCTCCATTATATAATTGTTCAACTTGCAAAGTTACTTATCATTCTTCAAATAACCTTAAAACGATCTATTGATGGTAATTTAATATTAGCCTTGTTCTTTTTTCTAACAACATTTTATGCGCAAGGCTCATCTTATCCAGTTGTGATAGTGTTATGGTTTCATTTAACAATATTTTATTGATGGTAAGCATACAACACTTTCGCAGGTTATGGACATGGAGCATGAGCTTCGTGCGCTACGAAATCAAATTCGGGAGAAGTCTATAGTTTCAGTTAAACTTCAAAAAGAGGTTTGATTTTCTGAATTCTCTCATGCAAACAATTTCTTTTATAATATTTTGCTTTGGCTGACACGATATAACTTTTCTTTTAATACATGTCAGAACACTGATGATTTCCTTTTCCTTTCTAGCTGGCAAAGAGCAAGAGAGCTGAGCAGAATAAATCTGCTCCATATGTCCTAGATGGTTCTGAAACTCTAGGTTCATCTCTACAGCTCAAGCCTCGTTCAGATAGTTCTCCACCCCTTTCGAAGTGTTCAGTTCAGTGGTACCGTGTATCATCTGAAGGCAGCCAACATGAAGTTATTTCAGGTATTCAGTTGGATTTTGTTGCACGTTTAGGAAAAGATACCTCTTTGATCAATTTGTAATATAATTTGTGTTTTGCTTCGCTTCCTCCCTATCAATGGAGGTTCAAGAAGTTCTTCCAGAAGTAGAATGCTCTATTGGTATTAATAATGGTCTTGTATCTCATGGTGCTTTATCTGGAATTTGCTTTAAAAAAATTAGGTTTCCACTGTCCAGTTTAGTCTTAAGCCTGCTTAAGCACAATCCTAGATTGTGTCATCAATGATGAGATTCACTAGGCATTTCAAGCATTGACATTCTTGTCCGTGTCCTAACTTTTAAGGCTTCCCGGGTATCTTAAAGATGGCAGCCGAGATGGTTCAGGAGCCTTTGCATTTGTTATCTTGTATCCTTCTCCTCCATCTTACATAATTCAACATTTTCTCTACAGGTGCTGATAAAACATTTTATGCTCCGGAACCCTTTGATGTTGGCCGAGTATTGCAAGTGGACATTGTTTCAAATGGCCAGAAAGTCAGTGTAACAACTTCTGGTCCCATTGAACCTGGTTGGTGTTAATTATGAAATATCATTTAGACAACAATATCGTTCTTGTGATGCTCTATTATCCCACATGTGAGGATTATAAGGAATTTGAATTAGATAAAACGAATGGCCAATGGACCTGTGTGCAGCCAGGAATTTCTTTTGGGTAGTGAGGACAAATGGGTCCAACTCAATGATGCACGTGTAGGTCTAGAGGTAGTTTAGCTGCACAGCAGGCCTCTCTCCCTGGCTTGGGCCGTGATAGAATGGTATCAAAACAGGGGAAGAATGTGATGCCCGGGCTTGGGGATGACCGTTCTGTGGTTGTCCAGTCCCTCCTTTTTCCTGCTATTCTTATCATTTTTGTGTAATCTCTATCAGATTGCTAGACAGGGTTCTTCTATTATTAGTGGTGTTCAAGATTTATACTAACGCATCAAATTACTCATAACAGCTGCAGGATTGGCAAGCCATGTAGAGAATCTCTTGAGAAAATCTAGCTTTGAATTTAGCGTATGTGACCTTGTTCTTTCTCCTTCCCTTTCGTTTCTGCTTGATGTTTCTTATTGTATTGCAATAATATGTGTTATGGTCATCTTCCAAAAGCAAACACACTCATGCGAGAATAAACACACACATGGTGATATTACATGTATTTCACTTATTTTTACTTGGTTTTGACATTTCATGTAATGCAGGTGGTTATTTCCCAGATGAATGGGCAAGATCATGCATCACATTCTGTCCATGTGTTTAATGTTGGGAAAATGAGGATAAAGCTTTGTAGAGGGTGGATTACAAAGGCTAGAGAAATTTATTCAATGTCAATGCTGGTAAAACAACAGGACCAACTACACTGCTAATGAGTTTGTTGTATCTCTCTGACCATTGCCCTTTTCTACCTGCAGTTATGTGGAGTTAGAACCAACAGCAACACTGCTGCAAAGTCATTGTTTTGGCAACCAAGGAAGGGCCTTTCATTCGTGTTAACATTCAACTCAGAGCGAGATAGGAATGCAGCGATAATGCTTGCCAGGAAATACGCCTATGATTGCAATGGGGTACCTTTTTTATTCTTTCAATTTATGCACCAATACAATCATTTCAGCATTACAAGCTGTCCATTTCCGTGATATTTTGCTAAAAAACTTTCTTGTCCCTCACACTTGCAGGTCATACTTGCTGGACCAGAAGATCAAGCATAGAATAACATGACTGACCATTTTTTTATTTAACAAGATGCGAGTATAATCAGGTTTTCACAGCTTGATTGATTGTAGTTGTACTTGTGTGTATGTGTTTGACATGGTGAAAGAAGAATACACCTTTCTGATTGCTTTTCGAGTTCGACTAATTTGGTTGCTGTCGTTTTAGGCATAGTTTTTTGTTTGCCTAATCCTCTGCTGTAACAAATCAACCATTTTTGATTGATTGGTTCTTTGTGCCTTCCTGTATATCTTTGACAACTTTGTGCACAAGATTTGGCTTTTATCCATCCAGCATTTAACCATTTGTGGTTTTTGACACAACAAGGGTAGAACGAGTCTCATGGTATGTTTTTGGCAACGCGGTAAAATCATCTTTTTGATGCTTTACACGTTGTATCATATTACTAAACAAAAAATAATCCCGATTCAATTATATATATTACAAAGAAGCATGCATCGGCTAGCTGGAAAGAAAACTTGTTGAATTAATATTTTAATGACATTAAAAACCTATGGATTATATAGTAATGAATAAGGTTTGTTTTAGGCAAGATAGGGAGCATGGTGAAAAGAACATAAAATCACCTGGAGTTACAGCGGAACATTCGGAAGGTTTATGAATTAGCACTCGAATAGAATTGTCCATTAAAATAACTCAGTGACATCTGAAGCTTACAAAAGCTAGATTGACCTGTTGTTATTAAACTCCACCGGCCTCAAATTAGTTTGGAAGTTCATCAAGGTTAACTTTGAAGTTTAAAAGGAAAAGTAAAATTAATCTTAAAATCAAGGCTATATTTGTTTTTGAAAAATAATTTATATGAAAGATGTTTTTTTATAAATACATTATTTTTCTTTATTTACTAATGTTAACAAAATCTACTTGGAAATAATTGTTTAATGTTATAAGGAAAAGAAAATAATTAATTAGCAGTCAGACTTATTATTTAATGAAAAACATAATCTGGTAAAATATTTCCATCTTAGAGAATAAAACAATATATATCATACAATAGTTTACACTTTACATCAACAAAGAAAACAATAAATTATTATTATTAATATTTTTTATTTTTTAATAAATTTAAAAATTTTATGGATTTGATTTTTTTTTTTGGTCTGAAAGGGAAAAGAAAAAAAAAAAAAAAGAGAGACAAAGAAACGACTCGTTCTCCAATAAAAAAGCCAAAATAAGTATTTGCCTAAAATAACTCACCTTAATAGTCGTCTCACCAAATCTCCATCAAACCATAGTCATAACATGACACGCGTCAGGATCTGTGAAAGCGGCAAAGTAATATAACTAGTAGCACGGAAATTTAATAAACTTGAAGTTCAATTAGCATATCCAGACTTTCTTACCTTGCATGCAATATTTTAACACGATGGTAACTTTAGCCCACGGACTCCAATCTCACCAACGGCTAGAAAGCTATGGCGCTCTCTAAACCGTAGGATTAAATATAGATCGGACGGATCAGAATTAAAAATAAATTCGACCGTTGGAAGTGAAGCGGTGGCTCCTCAGCTTCAAAAAGAGGGGTTTCTCTCATTTTTTATTTCCTCATCTCTGAAATTTTCTCAGAAATCAAGATAAAGATTTAGAGAAGAAGAAGAAGAAGAAGAACAAGAATAAAAGTTTAGAGATTTGGTTTGTATTCAAAAGTGATAAATCATAGCAAGGGTTTTTCTTTAATCAATCTAAAATGGCTTCAAGGGTTCAAAAACATCAACAAGAAGTCAGAGGTATTTTAATTTTATTTTCTGTGTTTAGTTCTGTTCCTTTGTATTTTGTCGATCGTTGATTAATGGGTTCTTTTTATCATTCTTTATAACGGGTTCTTTTCTGGTTTTTAATCTAATATTGGGTGAACTAAAGATACCTTTTTTATTTCAAGGGTTTCTTTTAGGGTTTTTGATTAATCAACCTGGTGATATGATTGACACTTAAATGCGATTACATGTAAATTTGTTGTTCTTGGTGTTTTTATTTTGTATTAGTTTATGATTATTGGATTTTCAGTTTGATATCGATGTAGTCATTTTAATTTCGTTAATATTTAAATTGTTTGGGAGATTTATTGTTTTTCTTTTGGTTTATTTGATTACAGATTTTGATTGATTACAATATTTATAGGTTTGATTTACCATCTAGGTGTAGTTTGATTAGAAAGATTAGATCTTGGGTTAGATTTTTCTGTTTTCCCTCTTTGGTTTGTTTTCTCTGTAGTTTCTGTTTGGTTGCTGAGAAAAATGAAGGAATCCTACCAGAGAGGAAACAAAAGGCTGACTAAAGTTACTTTTCTTTTTAATTTCCGTTTTAGATTTCACCCATTCAATATTTTGTTGCCTATTTGATGGGCTTCTAATGAATGATAAATCTGTCACAGGTGAAGCACTTGCAGGTGTAAACAAGAACGTGAAGAAAAATGCAGCAGCGGGTGAAGGAAAAAACCGCCGTGTTCTTGGCGATATTGGTAATCTTGTTACTGTTAGAGGAATGGAAGGCAAACCTCAGCCAAGTCGCCCCATTACTAGGTAGGTTCATCTCTTTCTTTCAGTTATTTATTTGTGTTTTTTAGTGAAAATTGATTCATTTTTGCTGATATATGTGTTCTTTGATAGGAGTTTCTGTGCTCAATTGCTTGCCGCTCAAGCTGCGGCAGCTTTAGAGAACAACAAGGTTCAATCTTTTTAAACAAATTATCAGTGTTAAAATTTATAGACTGCGGATTTTGGGTTCTGCGTGTGTGATTTCTGTACTGAGTAGGATACCTGGTTTTCGTTGAATGCAGAAACAAGTCTGTGTCAATGTGGAAAAGGTGCCTGCTGCTGGTGTTGATGGAGTGGATGCGGTGGGTAGGAAAGTTGCAGTGAAAAAGCCAGCACAGAAGAAAGTTACCGTGAAGCCAAAGCCTGAAGAGGTGGTTGTCATAAGCCCCGATAGTGAAGAGGTTGTTAAGCAAGAGAAGCCAGTGAAGAAGAAAAAGGAAGGAGAAGGATCTACAAAGAAGAACAAGCCAACTCTTACTTCAGTCCTCACTGCTAGAAGCAAGGTGATTATATTGACATCTTCTTTTGAAACTTTTTGTTAGCATATAGAGTTTTCTTGTGTTAATTCGGTCCTTATTTCAGGCTGCTTGTGGTATTGCAAACAAATTAAAGGAGCATATCATTGATATTGACGCAGCAGATGTTAACAATGATTTGGCTGGGGTTGAATACGTTGAGGACATCTACAAGTTCTACAAGCTAGTTGAGGTATGTTTAAGGAGGAAATGACATCTGCAAGTTATGCATGTAATAAAGTGTACATCTCTGCCTGATGTTCTGGTGTTTGTTGATTTTTTGATGCAGAATGAGAGCCGGCCTAATAATTACATGGACATGCAGCCTGAGATAAATGAGAAAATGAGAGCCATTCTTGTGGATTGGTTGGTTGATGTCCACCAGAAATTTCAGCTCTCACCTGAGACTTTTTACCTCACAATCAACATCATTGATAGGTTCCTTTCAGTAAAGACAGTTCCAAGAAGGGAATTGCAGCTCGTGGGCATCGGTGCCACACTTATGGCTTCCAAGTATGAAGAGATATGGGCTCCTGAGGGAACTAACTGTTTTAAGACCTTTCCCCTTCTGTGATGGATGAAGTAGATTATTTTCCAGGTAGCTAAACTGTTTGATGAATTGAATTTTTCAGGTAAACGACTTGGTGTGCATTTCAGACAGAGCTTACAGTCATGAACAGATTCTAGTTATGGAGAAGACAATATTGGCAAACCTGGAATGGACATTGACAGTGCCTACACACTATGTATTCCTTGCTCGTTTCATCAAGGCATCAATTCCTGAGAAGGAAGTGAGTTAGAAAAACTAATAATCTAATATATACTATTTGCCCTGTGTGGCAAGGTTTACTTACCTAGCAGGTTTTTTGATTTGTTTAGGTGGAGAACATGGTCAATTTTATAGCTGAGTTGGGCATGATGCATTATGACACTACCATGTTTTGCCCATCAATGGTTGCGGCCTCAGCGGTTTATGTGGCTCGATGCACCCTAAACAAAACCCCTTTCTGGACAGACACCCTAAAGAAGCACACTGGTTTCTCGGAACCACAACTTAAGTAAAGTCTTCATCATCTTTTTCACTAGCAAGGTTCCGGTTTGAATGATTTCATTTGATTTATGGTATGTTTTCTGTCTTTTAACAGGGATTGTGCTGGATTGCTAGTGTATTTCCACTCTAAAGCCGCAGAACATAGACTTCAGACTGTGTACAGGAAGTACTCAAAGCCTGAGAGAGGAGCTGTTGCCCTACTTCCACCAGCCAAAAATCTCTTGCCTGGTGGATTGAGTTAATGAAGATCACCAAGCTTTTATTTCGAAATTCACATTGCTTTATGTGAGAAGAAAATATATATCTGGACCAGATTGTTGGATTAGATTAATTTGTTTGTTGCTCCCCCTAAGAGCAATAATTTTTTTTCTCCTGATATTACATTTATTACTCTAAAAAATATTCAAGGACCTTAGGGTTTTTTTATTACATAGAAGTTCACAAATTAACCATTATTTTTGCAACAAATAAAAAAAAATTAAGCTACATCATATCAATTTTTAAAAATCCAATATTTTGGTTAAAAGAATAATTTCAATTTTCCCCCAAATTTAGTCCAGCGAAGTAGCCTTCTTTTTTCATAATTTTTTTGGACCAATTCTTAGCCTCCAAATTCAAAAAATTCTTTTTGAAACTTCTTATGTCTCATAATATATTCTATGGGGGAGAATGCTGAAAGTGGACCATTGCCCCATTTCATATATTAGGGTTTTTTTTTTTAATCACACGAAGTACAAATTTGCCATTGCAGCAATAAGTTAATTTCAATTATTCCCCAATTTTACTCCAACAAATTAACCTTTTTTTTCAAGCATAATATTATTTTATGACCACGTTTTGAAAGCAGCTGACTTTTCCAATTCATGATATTTGTTTCTTGACCCCCTTGCACATTGATAACACTCTGAACAAAACAGAAGCAAATGGAGGATTTTGTAACTTGTGATGCATTTAATGAGAGTATTGGCCCACTGACACGAAGAAAAAACAATGCCCACTGACAAGAAGAACAAATTTCTCGTTCTATTTGTTGAAAAGGGGTTTACAGGCCACTCTAATGGGCCAAAAAGCTTTCAATTAGTTGCAAAATCACCAAATCAGTGCCCTTAACTTTTAAGCTAATATCTCTCATGGATTAGAAACTTTACTTATCTAATTCTCTGCAATTTCTCTGAATTTTGGAAGGAAGCAGCAGTAGATAGAAATGTGTCCATGTAGGATTTAGTAGAACGAGAGATTTTATGAAGCTAAAGCTTTCAATAGCTTTCATGGATTAGAAACTTTACATTTCTTTAGTCCTTTGCAATTTCTCTGAATTTTGGAAGGAAGCAGCAGTAGATAGAAATGTGTCCATGTAGGATTTAGTAGAACGAGAGATTTTATGAAGCTAAAGCTATAATCACTATATACTTTAACAACATAAAAAAGAGATAGATAAAACAAATACCAAAGAAAATTATATACAATCCTACTGGAAAATAATAATAAATATCCTAATTAGCGAAAGCACTATAGAATTTTCTTTAACAGAACAACGTATTCTCTTTTGACAGCAAGCCTCATTTAAAATAATTGAGGAAAGAGGTGGGAAGTCAATCATCGTGCATGTGGTTCTATTTCAGGTAACTTTGCGTGTTCTATGATTCTAGGATGAAAAACAGAACAAAATGCTGTAGTTGGGAATTTGCTTATAAGAGATGTTCTAAAATTACTACTTCTTTAAAGACTCGTCAGGTTCTTTCCAATTTTCAGTGTCTTCGACGTCTCTTTGAAGAGAGACATGAAGCAAGGATATAATGGGCTTGAGTATCTCTGCACAATTGTTGCCGGATGCTCTAGGACTGCATACACTCTTGACGGAGGACTAAGCTGGAAAGTGATGGCTTGGATATTCTCAGTAACTGCAGCTATCTATGGAACATAATGGGACCTAGTCGTGGACTGGGGGCTCCTGCAATTTAAGTAGAAGAACTGGTTGTTAAGAGACAGACTTCTTATTCCATACCGAAGTGTGTATTTTGGAGCAATGGTGAGTAAGAATAATGCATGACATACCGAAATGATTTGATCAGCACTTGCAGAGCAATATTGACATTGTGGATCTTAAGTTGAAACAAAATGAAGATCAATCATAAAAATGTAAACCCGGTTCTGATTCTTATGATGGTGATGAAAAATGCAGGTCCTGAATGTATTGCTGAGATTTTCCTGGTTGCAAACTGTCCTGAACTTCCAGGTATCTTTCCCACATACTCAAACCTTAAGTGCAATAGTTGCCAGCCTAGCGGATTGTGGAACTTTTTCCGGTAAAATTGAGTTTATTCAAAATGTGCATAAAATTCCCAAATTCATAGTAAATTCCAAGAGTTAATCTTGTTCACATTCTATTGATTGATCAGGTTGGAGAATGAACATTTACACAATGTTGTCAATTATCGCGCATTCAAGTCTGTACCTCTACATTTCGACTACAATGTTGGCTAAGACAAACACGAGTTCCATATTGCATCAGAAAAAAATCAATAGACAAGAAGTTAGTTATCCAACAACAAACAGCAAAGAAAGAAAACACTACAGGGATGTTCTCAGAAGTACGATTTCGGAGGAGCTTGATTGTTTTCTCACTCATTTTTTATTGATTTATTGTATTTAGTTAGGGAGGTCAGTACCCTGTATGTGTAAAACTCCTTGCTATGGATATATAGGTATTGAAGGGTTTATGGAAGAGTTTTCAATCCAAAATTTCAACAGTTTCTTAAGTAGTTGAGGACTTATGGGTTAATTGGAATGTGGGTTTTCTCAAATCAATCGGAGTTCCATATTTATCTCCTCGAGCACTCGGATTCAGGCAGCGTTTGTCTGCTCGGTTGGCTCGAAAAAACATAAAAATGATGTTTTTTCAAGCCAAACATATTTTAAAACGCGACGTTAACGAGCATTCGATATGAAAATTAGGATGGACCCTTTGTACCTATGAAAACAAACGTTTCCGAAACAAGAACCTATATCCCCATTGAAAACCTAAGCATCCAATTTCGCTGTCTTTTTTTCCTCTTTAGAGTTTTTGTTACCTATCCCTAGTTTTTTATGTTTACACAGGAAGGTTTGAACCTGAGACCTTTTGATGGAAGGGGATGCTAATGCTAGTTGAGCTATAGCTCATTGGTTATCAAGACCTGGTTGATAAGATCTCTGATATATCATCAATGGAGCAACAATTTATGTCGTTGTTCGAGTTAGCAAAGAAATCAACAGATGTTGTGTCGACTTCTGTTTCAATATTTCCTGAAGTTTATCGACGCTGGATGCTTCGGACCAGCTCAAGAGGTTTCTTGTAACATCATTTAGGAATGCTGTCTCCAATCATGTTGCAAAAAGGGTTCAGTATCTCACGAAACACCGTGTAAAGATGATCAGACCGGCTGTTTCTTGCTTGCTCGATACTTGGAATAGGAAACTGCACGGAAGAAACCCTGCCACTGTGACGCAGCCAAACTCTAACTAAGCACACAGGAAGCAAGGACAGAGAAAGGGTCACAATAACATGCACCCTAATTCATATTTTATTTCTTCAACAACTTCTTTTTTTTGTTTTTTTTGCAACAACTAACAAAAAGTTAAACGTCTTAAAACCTTCCCAAATTCAGCTGGTTAAAGCCAGCCGAATTCCTTAAAATTGGGCCCGTAAAACCTCCAACATAATTTTAGCTTTAAATTTGCACCTACACTGGCCGAAGTTCATTTTTAACATAGAACATTAAGGGCTGGATTTTATTTTAAACTGTTTTTTTTTTAATTTTTTTAAAAGAAACAATGTTATTATCTCTTTTTGTTAAATTATAATTTAAATTTATCTTTTAATTTATAAGTTAATCTATTTAAGATACAACAAGACCGTCCCCTGACTTATACTTGACTTAAAATAAGAGGTGATGAGGACTTATCTTTGAAATGAAAGGAAGGACTACGACCTGTTTGCTTAATAAAAAATAGTTTTTTAGAATTATTTTTTTTTAAAAAATTATCTTCTAAACTTTTTTGTATTTATTTATTATTAAAAAAATTAATCAATGAAAAATATTTTTTCATAAAAAAAATTAATTTTATTTTCAAGAAGGTGTTTTTCTTTTATTTTAAGGGGAAAACACTTTTTAGAAGTTGTGAAAAATTTAAAAATATTATGTTATTTTCTGATTATATCAAATGTAGTCCTCAAATTTTTCATTTCTATATATATATATTATATTATTTGCTGATTATATCAAATGTAGTCCTCAAGTTTTTCATTTCTATATATATATATTTTTATTTTTATCCCTTAGAATTTGATTTGATTTTTATATTAACTTTGATCCTTATTTTTATGATTTTTATTTTCTTTTTTCTTATCATTTTCTTAATTGAAATTTTTTATCTATCAAATTTGATTATTATTTTTTAACTGTTATTTATTTTATTTAAAATAATTTATAAAATTATAATTTTTTTAATTTTATCATCTTTCAACTTTTTATATGTTAAATTTAATCTCTATTATTTTGATTATTATTTATTTTGTTTGAAGTAATTTATAAAACTATATTTTTTTTCAATTTTATTCTCATTCAATATTTTAATTTATAAGATTTTTTTATTTGTAAGATTTGTTTCTCATTATTATAATAAACTTGAAAATATATTAATAAATTATTTTCTAACTTATTTTTCATTATATAACTAAATATTAAAAAATATTTTTTTAATTTATTTTTTATGATATTATAAAATATAAAAAAAAATAAATTTCTAAGAATTTATTTAAAAAATATAATTTATTTAAAAAAAATATTTTCTAGCAAATAAAATGATATTATTTTTTATAATACTATAAAATATAAAAAAATTAAAATTTTAAAAGTTTATTTAAAAAAAAATATTTTCTAGCAAACCAAGTGATATCATTTACAGCCGTCCTACCTCTTTCTTGATGGCTCCAATTTCTTAGGAAAAAAATACAGGGCTTTTTTATTAAGGCCCAACAGTAATAATTTATCAACAAAGAGGGCGGGGCCTTGCTTTTGTGGCCCAGCATACATAAAAGGGCCTAAAACCCTGGTCCCCATATTCAAGGGTTTTAACCATCACCTCTCTCTCTCCCCCCCTCTCCCCCTTCCCCTCCCTCTCTCTACGCTTGTGTATTCGGAGAAACACCGAGCACCTGGTTGCCAAACTGGTGAACTAAACCTCCCATCTCTCAAGTCCGAATTTTTCCTTGTTGGTTTTCAAGAAACTGGAAAACCCAGAAATCAGGTTCCCTTTTTATCCTTCTTTTTGTTTTTTCTCAATCTACGAATCTTTTCTTATAATTGTGTATGTGAAGAGTTAGAGAGTGCAAAACATGTTTCACAGGAATTCTAGTAAGAAAGTGCAGTTTTTTTAGTTTTTTCTGCTAAAATGTTTTATCTGTAGAATACCCCATTAATCCATTAAGAGAATAAATGACGGTGAATACTTTTATTTTTCTTCTTTTATAGGGATTTTTAAGTAAAAGATGCCATCAAAGACAAAGAAGAATTCAAAGACACCTTCGAGGCTGTCAAATTCTGACCAGTCTGCTTCATCTCCTAGAACACCATCATTGGCATCTAGTATAGACTTAGAAGCTAGTCAACAAGAAAATATTGCGTTGTGTTTAGAAGAAGCATCGAGTAAATATCCGTCTTTGATTGATAAATCTGCTTTCATTGGTCGAATCACTGATGTTGAGGCGGAGTCTAGTACCACTGCAAGAGGTTGTAAGATTTGGCTTTCAGAATCTTCTATGGTTTCTTCTTCTCTCGCCCCTGGTTCCATTGTATCGGTAACTATTTTTTAACTTTCTTATTTTTATTAATGTTTTTGAAGTTAATTAAGGCTTAATAGCTGTTTCTGAAGGTGTCTTTATGATTAAATTGGTAGGTGTCGCTTGCTGCTGTGGAGAGGAGATTTTCAAGTAGTGGTTTTCCTCTCAGTTCGTTTTCCTATGAATGGTCTAGACAATGTGAGGTGGAGTCTGTGGATAAAATAACTAATGAAGCTGGGAATTACTTTGCTATAGCGACGGTTTTTCCTTCTTGTAAGGTTTGAAAATAAACACAACAAAAACTAGGTATTAATGTATTAAAGCAGTGTCTTTGAACATTATGTGAATATCTGCAAGAATTGATTTTGTTTTACATATCTGCCCTTGATGATCTAGGATATGAACTCTTTTCCATTTTGATTTGAAGCATCTTGATATTTTTGAATCTTGGGCATGTCAACCTTCAACAAGAAAGGCATTGTTGAAAACGACTTTCATAAGGCAGGAGAAATTTTCTTGAAATTGGGTACAAACATGTTAACTATAGGTAGAGCTAACTATAAATCAAACTTGATAGTATTTTAAAGTTCTAATGACTGTTTGATTCAAGCTAACAGTTTTACAAGTCAATCCAGGCAGTTACTGAGAGAAAAACTATACTTTTTTATCCTCTCCCTCCCTGAAGTCGATAGATGTTCTGGAATTTGTTGTTTGATGTAGTAAATTTATGGAAATACTTAAAGTTTGCTCTTTTATGCTTTCTTTTCTCCAGGTTTCCAAGAATGGAGCGCGGTTGTCTTTACACCTTGCCTACATGATGGGATGCCCTGCTTCAGGCAAGGTTATATTTGTTCACACTATTAGAAATCAACTCCTAACTGATATTGTAAATGGGAATGATACGCCAGAAGGTGCAAATACTGATCAACTTTCACTTCATAACTGCAATGAATTGTATCTGGAGCTAGTTCCTTTTATGGACAGAGTAAAAATGAAGAGTGATACTATGTCTGCAACGAAATTATCTGCAGAAAAAAGACATGACAGATCTGAAAATGGCACAATTTCATCCCCGAAGACACCATTGTGTCAACCAAAGCTCAGCTCTCCTAGTCCCATTCACTTAACTTCACCAATATGTGAAGAAGCAGCATCCAATATATCCAATTCAAATGGCACAGATGTTGGTTTACTGAATATTAAAGAGGTATTAGAGGATGAAAGTGCCAAGAAACTTCTACAGGTCTGTGCTGCTTCATGGTTGTATTCTCGTGTTCTAATATGTGGAAATCTTGTGGCCATCCCAGTGCTATCAAAGCTTTGCATTTTCTGTGTCAGAAGCGCGAATAAATTACCTGCAGATGGTAGTGATCAAGATTTGATGAAAGATAGAACTCATGGAATGCAACCTCAAGATTCTGAAGAATTGGGCCATATGAAAGATGCTTTTTCCATAAACCGTGAGACAAAAGTATATTTACATCAGCATATGAATTCAATGGATGAAAGGGCACAGAAACAAGGTTTGCCATTAATGCAAAGTGAATGTAGTAATGGTAAAAAAATTATAGGAACTGATAGATCAAAATTGGGTGGTCTACATAAGGAATATACAGTTTTGAAGGACATAATTGTATCATCCAGGAAGAATACTTTGTCATGGTATGTTGTTATTTTATTTTGTTTGAGATTTTTTTAAACTTGCGGAGTAAAAAATGTTTCTTTTGGTAGCATGATAATATCTGTGGGAGTTTTTGTTGTTTTGATGTGGTTGAATGACATAAATGCTGCCATTGGAACACCCATAAGAGATGAAGAGTCTGGATGCTAAAATGTTGGGACCGTGCATGATGGTACCCTGCTATTCAATAGGATATCATAGGGATCACGGGA